AGAGGCATTGCCTTGGCCAAGTGCTGCCTGGTGGTTCTGGTGCCTTTTCCTTACTCCCAAACACGTCCCAGCTTTTCCCAGCAGCCCAGGATGCTGTCAGTGCCTCCCTCAGCCGTATGGTCCCGTGTGATGTATATAAATAAACATGTGTATATATAAATAAGCATGTAAATATGTATCCATAGATAAAGATGAATGTGTAAATACGGATCTCCTTCCACTGCAGCCTTGGTAAGAGGCTGTGCTGATGAAGATGATCATTCTTCTTCAGAAACTGTTGTGACAGGACAAGGAGAATGGGGTCAAACTAAATCAGGGGAAATTTAGCTTAGATACATGGAAGAAACTCTTCCCTGCAGGGTGGGCAGCCCTGGCACAGGCCCCCAGAGCAGCTGTGGCTGCCCCTGGATCCCTGGCAATGCCCAAGGCCAGGCTGGACATTGGGGCTGGAGCACCTGGGACAGGGGGAGATGTCCCTGCCATGGCTGGGGTGGGATGGGGGGAGATGCTCCCTTCCCACCCAAACCAGTCTGGGATTTTGTGATTCCTTTCTGACAGTAAATTTAATCCGTGATCTTTGAGGAGCTGCATTCCTGCATTGTTCTCTTCAGCAAAGCTGCTGTTTTCCACAAGCCGCGAGCGCTCAGAGGCACAAACACCAGCGCTCCGTCCGTTACCGTCGTTCACCTGCTGCTGTCCCAGTTTTACAGCTCTGGAACAATTCCGTGTGTTCGGCGGGAGGCGGGGGGTGAGGCACGGGTGGCTGTGCCGTGTGCGGGGTCCCGGGCAGCGGGGCCGGACCGGCGGGGGCAGTAGTACCGGGACCGGCGGGGGCAGCGGTGCCGGGACCGGCGGGGGCAGCGGTGCTGGGACCGGCGGGGGCAGCGGTACCGGGACCGGCGGGGGCAGTAGTACCGGGACCGGCAGGGGCAGTAGTACCGGGACCGGCGGGGGCAGCGGTACCGGGACAGGCGGGGGCAGCGGTGCCGGGACCGGCGGGGGCAGCGGTGCTGGGACCGGCGGGGGCAGCGGTACCGGGACCGGCGGGGGCAGTAGTACCGGGACCGGCGGGGGCAGCGGTACCGGGACCGGCGGGGGCAGCGGTGCCGGGACCGGCGGGGGCAGCGCCGCGCTCTGCCCAGCGCTCTGCACCGAGCGCGCTGTGACGGCCCCGACGGGCTGGAGCAGAGCAAAGGGCGGCTGGAAAACCCCGTCAGCCGCCCTCGTTCCTCTTCTGCCGTTTACTTTTCAGGAATTGCTTCTGAAATCCTTAGGATGCTGTTGTCACCCGCGAGCAGCATCCCCTGTCCCAGGGCTCGGGGGCACAGGGCAGCCGGCAGGACCCGCTCTGGTGCGGGGTGTCCCTGCCGCGGCAGGGCTGGAACGGAGGAGCCCAGGGAGCCCGGGACTGTCTGTCCTGCCGGCCGGGCTGCGAAGGGTTAACCCTTCCCCTGCACGGGGAGGGGATTCAGCTGCTGCTGGGGCCCGGGGAGAAGAGACGTGGAATGGGGGATGGAGATGGGACAGGGAATGGGGGATGGAGAAGGGACAGGGAATGGGGGATGGAGAAGAGACAGGGAACAGGGAATGGAGAAGGGACATGGAGAAGGGACAGGGAACAGGGAATGGAGAAGGGACATGGAGAAGGGACAGGGAACAGGGGATTCTCTCCTCTCCGGCCACTGGCAGGGCTGTTCTCTTCCCACGTGTGTTCCTTCCCCAGGCATTCCCGTCCGGCTGGCGCTGCTCTCCTGGCTGGGTGGGACATGGGAGCAGGGACACGGTGCCAAGGAGGGGGCACGGGAAGGGTCAGGGCGGCTGCAGCAGCACCAGCAGGCACCACGTCCTTCCTTCCTTCGTGCCGCCTCTCCTCCCCTGGGGAGGGGGAACTTGGCTCCCTGGTTATTAACTCGTCCTCTCAGAGTTTGTTGGATGAGGCAAATTTTAAATTCATCACGACCATCACCATATTCTGAGTGTTACCCAAAGCTGTTAGGGGAGTACTGCTTAAGGCAAATGAATTATTTGATGTGCGGCACAGCCTGGAGAAAACAGTACATTTAACATTTAATAAATTATCTCTTGTTTTTTAGGGAAAAAAACAGTAACTGGCTAAGCCTACTCAAACTCAGGCTTAACTGAGAGCTGCTTAACACATCCAAGCACAGCCTATGGAATGGAAATGCTGTAGATTTTGGGATTAAAAATCCCATGTGGAGGAGAGGATCGCAGCTGTGGTTAAACCTTGTGTTTATTTTATTCTGTAGGTACCTGCGCTGCTGGAGTTTGTAAAGCTATGGAGAAAACCCCTGGATATTGAAATTCTTCAACCTCTTCCTGCACTTGTACATCGACAGTGTTTTCACCCAGCACTGGGAGCTGCAGAAACACAAGGAAGGGATTTGGCCAGAGAAGTGTGGCATTTGAACCAGAGGGATGCAATGTTTTAAGGCCAAGGTTGTGGATGTTGATATCAGCATACGATTCTGTCATGGAATTGATTTAACAAGCTCCGATTCTACCAGATACCAATGCCAGTGCTGGCATTCTGGGATGAGCTGCATTTTTGCTTCTGCATTTCACGCCTAAACCAGTTCATTTTGAGTTCCACTGAAATACTTCATGTCTTGAAATACTCTATTCACTGCAGGTGGTGGCTGAGGTGACAAAGGGCGCGTTAGGAAGGGGCTTGAGTCCATCTCATGGCTCTTCATTGGGGATGTGCTCTTGCCCGTGTGTCTGTGTGTCTCAAATACCGGTTCTGTTTTCCCATTAACTTCCTTGATCCTGGGGGTTTTACGTACAAAGCCAATTGTACAGGACAGGCCTGTGTGTAAATAAGGGATTGTGCTTATCTATATGTCACTATAAATATGTATGAAGTTTTGTACATAGGAAAGAGAAAACGGCTCAAAGAATGTTTTCAGAACGGTGTCCTCCGTTTAAATGCACAGACAGGAGATTGCCATCCGTGTGCTCCCTCACTCTCCGGGAAGGGATCCCGCTGGTTCCGCTTGCTGTCTGCATCCCACCGGCTCCGTGAGGAGTTTGTGGTGGCCCGGAGCAGGGCTGGGTTCTGTGTGAGGAGATTTTGTTAACCCGGAGCAGGGCTGGGCTCTGTGTCAGGAGGTTTTTGGTAGCCCGGGGCCGGGCTGGGTTCTGTCAGGAGTTTTTGGTAGCACAGAGCAGGGCTGGGTTCTGTCAGGAGTTTGTTCCTGGCCCGGGCCGGGCTGAGCCGTGCCGGGTCTGGGCTGCTCCTCCTCACTCTGGCCCCGGTGCATCCCTTACAAACAGCGTCTCCAAGCCCCGGGGCGGCGGTGGGGCAGTGTCCCGGGTCCCTCGGTGCCCGGTGCGGGAGCAGCAGCCGGAGCAGGGGGTGCCGGGGCCGCCCCCCGCCCCAAACCCGCTGCTGTCTGTATGTGCATCAGGCGTGGACTGCTTGTTCCAGCTGCGGAGGATGCGGCTGTTATTTCCAGTATTCTGCTCTATATCTGTAGCCTTCAGTGATTCCTTGAGTGCCTTACGTGGCTTGTGGACAGAATTCCTGACCAGGAGGAGGAAATGCCCCTGGACCGCCGCCGGCTCCGTCGCACCCTGTGCCCCTGGCCGGCAGCGTGCACAGGAAGAGATTTAGCTTCGACTCAGGAAATCGCCGTGTGAATATGTGTATTAAACCCTGTATGATGTGCTGTACAGTTTATTAAAAGGGACTGCTGTAAACTTATGCAAAACGTAACACAGAGAAGATGGAGGTTTTGGTGCACCGGCTGGCGTGCCGTGACCCGTGTCCTCTAACCCTACTCCAGAATCATATCCCAAATACAGAACGCTGGGTTCAGTGCTGCGACAGCAACCGACAGCCCGAAAACAGGGGCTGGAGAGACCGACTAGAGAATTTTACAGATATTTTTGTATTGTGATTCCTATGATATATATCGAGAGACTTTCTATTCCTTTGTAAAATACATAAATTATTGTCAATTTTAATTAAAAAGATCCGTTTTAAACCTTCAAATTAGATGAGCTGGTTTGGGTTTGAGGGGATGGGGGAGCTGGGCAGTGTCACCGGCCGAGTGGGACACCGGGAGATGCCCGGGAGGGCTCGGGGGGGGCGTTCACCCTCTCCAGCGCAGCCAACCCCGCGCTGTCTCTGCCATGGCAGCCGCTGCCGGAGATGTCACCTCGCGCTCGTACGCGGGGCCGGGCAGGGGTGGATGGGCACCGGGCGGGGCGGGGGTCCCTGGGCGGCTCTTAACGCGGCGCGGGGCTCTCCTGGCCAGGCGGGCGGCGGCGGGAGCGCAGGTGCGGGGCCATGGCGGGGCGGCAGGAGGAGGCTCTGCCCGCCTGCTTCGCGGGGCTGGGCGCGGGCAGCCCGCGGCCGCGGCAGAAGCGCGGCGGGATGTTCTGCAGCGTGGAGGACGCCTTCGACAACAAGACGCTGAACTTCGCCTCGCTCGCTGCCTCCGGAACAGCAACACCCGTCGGGGGGCACCGCCGCGACACCCAGCCGGGACCGAGCCCCGACGCGGGACCGAGCCCCGGCCCCGGCCCCGATCCCGGCCCCGACCCCGGCCCCGACCCCAGCCCCGCCGCGGCCGCGCTGCCCCCGAGAGCTCCGGCTGCGCTGCCCGACGGCTGCCGGCAGGTAACGGGACTGCGCCGGGACAGGGGCCGGGGGCCTGGCAGAGACCGCGGCGGGAGGGCGAGCGGGGACCCGTCCGGCTGTCCTCCAGCCGTCCCGCCCCGTCCGGTCCCATCCCGCCCCGTTCCGTCCCGTCCGGTTCCGCGGAGCTGGCTCCGGGAGCGGGCTCCGGGTTCGAGCCGGGCGCGGTGCGGGGCCACCGAGCGGCCGCCTTTCCCTCGGGCTCGGCCCCGCTCGGCCCCGCTCGGCCCCGCCGGACCGGCTCTGCCCGCGGCCGGGCGCGCGGCGGGGCGGGCGGGGGCGCGCACGCAGGCGGGAGCGCGCGGCGGCGGGCGCGGGCACGCGGGACAGCCCCGCACACACGCGGCGGAGGCGGCGGCGATGTCGCAGCCGGGCAGGAGGAGCGGGAGCCGCGGCAAGGTGAGGGCTCGCTCCCCGCGGGGCGAGGGCTGCGGGGCCGCGGGGCCGCGGGCCGGGCCGGGGTGGCTCCGGCGGGCGGGGATGGAGCGGGCCGGGCGGGCTCGCACAGCCGGGGGGCTCTGGGGGCTCCTGCCCGCCCCGGGGTGAGCGCCGCCGGGGCCGTTGCCGCCGGGGCCGTTGCCGCCGGGGCCGTTGCCGCCGGGCCGTTGCCGGCGGTGCCGGTGCCGCGGGGCCGAGCCCCTGCCTGCCCCGGCCGCCCCTCGCAGCCTGCCCGCTCCGCTCCGCTCCGCTCCTCTCCGCTCCTTTGTTGCGCGGCCCGGCCGGAGCCCGGCGGTCCCGGCGCTTTGTCCCGGGGCCGCCCCGGGGGGACAAAGGCGGGCGGGCTCCCTGCCCCGCCGTGCCCCGGCTCCCCGTGCCACCGGAGCCGGAGATGTGCCCCGGGCACGCTGTCACCGCGGGATGGGCTCGGCACCGCGAGAGCATCCCGCAGCCGAGCGCTGCCTCCCCCCGCAGCCCGGGGTCCCCCGCGGCTCCCCCGGCGCCGGCCGCGCTGCGTGGGAGGGGATTCCCTGCTCCCGGCGCCTCCCGGCAGCGGCCGGGACAAATCCCTCGATTGCCGTGCTCTGTGTTTTGTTTGTTCTCTCTTGCTGCCTCGTGGCAGAGCTCCCTTGGGGAAAACCCGGCGGGTGCGGGAGCCAGGGACTCTCACATCCCAACCCCGTCACTGGGATGCGGGAGCGGATCCCGGGTGTGGGGCCCTGCCGCCGGGGTGGGGACGGGGTCAGGATGAGGGTGAGGACGGAGTGAGGATGAGGATGGGGTAAGGATGGGCATGGGGTGAGGATGGGCCCCACAAGGGTCTCCCATGGGGCAGTAACACTGAGGCCTCTTCTGATTGATGTTACGGGACAAGGGGAAACAATAAAGACAATAAATCCTTGACTGTTAAAAAGAAAAGTAATGCAATTCTGTAGTTTTCCCTTTATATGCCAGCGATGCTCTTTTAAACAAACCCCGAACTGTTTCTAGGCAGTTTTGCCTCCGGACCCGGCTCTTTGAGGGGCAGCATCTCCAGGCTGTGCTGCCGCGTGCTCAGGCGTCCCTCGGCTGGTTCTGTGCCCAGGCCGTGCTCTTTGTGTTGCCCATCTCAGCACTGGAAATAATTTTTCAAGCAGCACCAGAGAGCAGGAAAGGAATCCTCTGAAATTAGGCTGCAGCTGAATATAGACATCAGTGCTGCTGCTTCCTAAATTTTCTAGTTAAAGATTCTGGGTGAAGATTCTGCAAATCTGAAAACTGTGCCAGTGTCTGGCTTTGAAGTGAGGCAAGTCCTCGAGGCTTTATCTGCCTCAGCCGAGACTGTGAAAACGGATGAATGGCAATAAATTACCAGGTTAATGAGATGCACTGAGAAGCCTGGAGCTGAGGCAGCAGCACGGCTGGCTCAGCCCTCGGAGCCGGGGGTGCCCAGGGCTGCCGGGCCCAGCGATGCACCCCTGGCTCCTCCAAACGACAATTTCATATGGTTCCCCTTGCAAATGTGGTTGTAGAATAGTCTGGGTAGTCACTGAACTTGAGTGATTGCAGGGAAAATACTAAACCTAGACTTACTTAAACTTGGAATGAGTAAGGCGGAATCCAAACAAAAAAATCTTTAAAAAACTGTGGATTTTTTTTCCCATTAGGGTCATCACATTCTAATCAAAGGAGGAAAAATTGTCAACGATGATCAGTCATTTTACGCAGACATTTATGTGGAGGATGGCCTAATAAAGTAAGTTAAAAATTTATATTTGCTAATGTAATTTCTTAGAATGATGCAGTGCCTTGGGATTTGAACAAGGTTCTTTCCCGTCATTTTTTCTTTAGGAAAATAAAGGCAGCATTTTAGAGCAGTGTCAGGAAAGAGCTGCACTGGTGTAGCTGCAGCTGTAGAGACTGGCAGAGCACTGGCAGCCGGGGGAGCAGCCACAGGGGTCGTTTTGGCATCCTCACCTCAAAGCTGTTGCCAGCTGAGAGGAGATGTTGGTTTCCTTTGCAGACAGATCGGAGAGCACCTGATCGTGCCCGGCGGCACCCGGACCATCGATGCCCACGGGCAGCTGGTGATCCCGGGCGGCATCGACGTGCACACGCGGCTGCAGGCGCCCACCATGGGCATGAACTCGGCCGACGGCTTCTTCCAGGGCACCCGGGCGGCGCTGGCAGGGGGCACCACCATGATCAGTAAGGGGCTGTGCTCTCCGGCAGAGCACACGGGCCTGGAGTCCCTGCGGGGATGTTGGTTTGCCTTCACGGCACAGAAATGCCCGTTTCTGCTGGGCAGACCCAAACACCACAGAGCTAATTGGAGGTGTTGTGTACTGGGCAGAACCTCTTTCCCTTGCTGCACGTGGATGTTAAAAATATCTGTCTGCTCCTGCCTCACCTCATCAGAGAGCAAGACAGAAGAGCACTTTAAACACCTTTTATTATGTTTTTAACAGCTCTGCAAGTGTGGGGCGTTTTTGAGTTTCCCAGCTTTAAGCACAGGCTCCATTTCTGTGTAATGTAAAATAATTTTGCTCTCTGTTCTGTTCCTACTCCATTCCCAAGAAGCACTGCAGTGTGTGACTGCAGGACCAGTCTCACCAGTCCTGGCACAGCTCCCCAGCGAGCCCATGGCCAGTGCTGGAAGGAATGGGGGCACAGCTGAGGGAAGTGACGGGCAGTGGGGGCTGCCCATGGCAGCTGCCCCAGAGCAGAATGCTCACCGGCAGAGTGCTGTGCTGCCTGAGAGACGTGACAGAGCCATGCCTGGGGTTTGCTTGTTGTGCTTGTATCGCTTAGTCTGGGGGCTCCCTGCCCCCTGTCCCTCAGCAGCGCTGGGAGTGAGCCGGCACTGCTGTGTCCAGCTGTGTGGCCTGGGTGCAGTGCCCGATGTGTCCCTGTCCCCAGCCTGTGTGTCCCCACAGCAGCAGCAGCCGTGTGGCCGGGGTGCGGTGCCCGGCATGTCCCTGTCCCTGACTCCCGTGTCCCTGTCCCTGACTCCCGTGTCCCTGTCCCTGTCCCCGTCCCTGACCCCGTGTCCCTGTCCCTGTCCCCGTCCCTGACCCCGTGTCCCCGCAGTTGACCACGTGTGCCCGGACGCGGGCAGCAGCCTCCTGGCCGCCTACGAGCAGTGGCGCAACCGTGCCGACAGCCAGGCCTGCTGCGACTACAGCCTGAGCATGGACATCCCGCGCTGGCACGAGAGCCTCAGGGAGGAGCTGGAGGCCCTGGTCAAGGACAAGGGTAAGGGCAGAGGGACCCTGTGGGGTGGCAGCGGCAGCCCTGCTGTCCCCAGCACCCAGCACTGCAGGGTCACGCTCTGCCCGTGGAGCTGGCGCCTCCCTGTCCTTGGCCAGCCAGGAGAGAGCTGTGTATGGGGACACGGGCACCAGGCTCCTGCCGTGACATCTGGGTCTGTGCCCTCGCCTTTGGGCAGCCTGGTCACGGAAAGGGATTTTGGAGGCTGAAGGAGTAGGGCTGGACACCCTGACGTGGGCTGCCAGACGTACAGAAAATACATTTAAAGAAAAACCTCCGGGACGGGGCGTAGAGAAGGGAGCTCAGCTTTAAGCATTCCGCAGTGGTTCCGTGGTGCCTGTAACTCCCGTGCATCCCGAGGTATCTGTGGCACATGGCTGGCTGGAAAGCAGGAAAGTAGACCACGCGGCAGGGATTCATGCATTCATTAATACCTATTGCCGTGTTTGGAACTACACTTTCCTTCAGATATGCTAATGCAGAGCTAAATGTCTTCAGTGTAATTTGTAGTCTTGCAAGCAAGGATTTAATTGGCCAATTACCATAGAAATTCGCAGTGAATTTCCTATTAAAATGCAGAGTGGCTGAAGTGATGGAGCTGTTCCTTGGAACACATATGAAATACAGCTGTAATTTGATCATGGTTTGGTATTGCTTATTGCCTCTATCCATACAAAATACAGCAGCAATTCATAGAATCATGGAATGGTTTGGATTGGAAAGGACCTGGTCCCATTCCCTGCCATGGCAGGGACACCTCCCACTGTCCCAGGTGCTCCAGCCCCAGTGTCCGGCCTGGCCTTGGGCACTGCCAGGGATCCAGGGGCAGCCACAGCTGCTCTGGGCACCTGTGCCAGGGCCTGCCCACCCTGCCAGGGAACAATTCCCAATTCCCAATATCCCATCCCACCCTGCCAGGGAACAATTCCCAATTCCCAATCTCCCATCCAGCCCTGCCCTCTGGCACTGGGAGCCATTCCCTGTGTCCTGTCCCTCCATCCCTTGTCCCAAATTTAAGAATAAGCCATAGACGGAAGCCACCATTGGATGAAAACCAGCATGGGAGTGAGGCAGCTGAGTGTGCATTTGGAGCAGTCACAGAGGGTACCTAACCCCAAAAAGGGGTTTCATTTTGTGGTTCAAGTGCACCATAAAGTAGAGGTTTATTGTCTTTCACAACCCCCAAGCTTTGGGGTCAGTGGGGACATTTCCCACATCAGCCCTTGGCTTTGCTTTGCTTCCAGTGTAACCCTCTCCAGCACAACCTGGTCCAACACCCCTGCCCAGCCCACACCAGGGCAGTGCCAAAGGGACAAAGCCACACGTGTCCTTTTCTTTTCTCAAGGTGTGAACTCCTTCCTGGTGTTCATGGCTTACAAGGACAAGCTGCAGTGCACCGATAGCCAGGTAGGAACGCAGGGAAAGGCAGGGCCTGCCTCCGAGCCAGGTGGGAGGAGGCAGGGCTGAGCCGGCCCCGCTTGTCTCGGCAGATGTACGAGATCTTCTGCGCCATCCGGGACCTGGGCGCCATCGCCCAGGTGCACGCGGAGAACGGGGACATCATCGAGGAGGTACCGCGGCCACCGGGACTGGGGCTGAGCAGGGCCTGGGGGGAGAACCCCTGTCCCTGCTCCTGCTCCTGTCCCTGTCCCTGTCCCTGTCCCTGCTCCTGCTCCTGTCCCTGTCCCCTGTCCCCTGTCCCTGCCCCTGTCCCTGTCCCTGCTCCTGTCCCTGCTCCTGTCCCTGTCCCTGTCCCCTGTCCCCATCCCTGCCACTGTCCCCTGTCCCCATCCCTGTCCCTGCCCCTGTCCCTGTCCCTGCTCCTGTCCCTGCTCCTGTCCCTGTCCCCTGTCCCCATCCCTGTCCCTGCCCCTGTCCCTGCCACTGTCCCCTGTCCCCATCCCTGTCCCTGCCCCTGTCCCTGCCCCTGTCCCTGCTCCTGTCCCTGTCCCTGTCCCTGCCCCTGCTCCTGCTCCTGTCCCTGTCCCTGTCCCTGCCACTGTCCCCTGTCCCCATCCCTGCCACTGTCCCCTGTCCCCATCCCTGTCCCTGCCCCTGTCCCTGCCCCTGTCCCTGCTCCTGTCCCCATCCCTGTCCCTGCCCCTGTCCCTGCCCCTGTCCCTGCTCCTGTCCCTGTCCCTGTCCCCTGTCCCCATCCCTGTCCCTGCCCCTGTCCCTGCCACTGTCCCCTGTCCCCATCCCTGCCACTGTCCCCTGTCCCCATCCCTGTCCCTGCCCCTGTCCCTGTCCCTGTCCCTGCCCCTGTCCCTGCCCCTGTCCCTGCTCCTGTCCCTGTCCCTGTCCCTGCTCCTGTCCCTGCTCCTGTCCCTGTCCCTGTCCCTGTCCCTGCCCCTGTCCCTGCTCCTGTCCCTGTCCCTGTCCCTGTCCCTGCCCCTGTCCCTGCCCCTGTCCCTGCTCCTGTCCCTGTCCCTGTCCCTGCTCCTGTCCCTGCTCCTGTCCCTGTCCCTGTCCCTGTCCCTGTCCCTGTCCCTGCCCCTGTCCCTGTCCCTGCCCTGTCCCTGTCCCTGTCCCTGTCCCTGTCCCCTGTCCTGCCCCTGCTCCTGTCCCTGTCCCTGTCCCTGTCCCTGCCCCTGTCCCTGCTCCTGTCCCTGTCCCTGTCCCCGTCCCTGCCCCTGTCCCTGCTCCTGTCCCTGTCCCTGTCCCTGTCCCTGTCCCTGTCCCTGTCCCTGCCCTGGGAGCTGGAGCCCCAAAGCCTTGGAGGGAATGGGACCCTGTGTAGCAGCAGGAGCATCAGGGTGTCCTGTGGAATCATCAGTGCCCTCATGGATCTTCACATGTGGGTGCTTGAGTTCCCAAAAAGCACTTTGTGGATTGCTAAAGGATGACTGGCTGCCTTAAGTGATGCTTTATCCCGTTATCTGTTGTGTTTATGAGTTTGCTTGAAAAAATCAGGAGGTTTGAGGCTTTTGCAGTAATGTCTGTGACATGGGCAGCATTTAACTCCACCGTCAGCACTTGGGAATTCCTTGGTGTCGCAGCCTCTGCTCATGGGCCTTATTTTTCCTTTTTACCTGTAGAAAAGACAGTGTTGGCTCCAGCCTCAGATACACAAGTGGAGTTAGACTGGCAGTTCCTCAGGCTCACGGTCACACCAGCGCTCCGTCTGGTGTGGGAGTCAGGCTGAACTGAAAGCCAGATCCAATCCTTCAAATGGGTTTATTTGAACAAACAGGGTAAAGGCTAATTCCCACCTCCTGGGATTTTACCTGGAAACCTCAGCTGGCTGTGGAGCCAGGCAGCTCCTGGTGCAGCAGTGTTTCTGTCAGCTGCCAGCCTGGTGACACTTGAGCCCTGGGGACAAACCTGGAGGAGATCTGTGACAAGAATACAGACAAATAGGCACGCTCTAAGAGCAGGGGCCTCTAAAGGATCCTGTGGGATCTGCTCCCTGGTGTTGGATTACATCCTTGCCCTGGTGCCAGCTGCCTGGGAGGCTGCATGGCACAGAGCAGCAGAGGGACAGGCTGAGCTGTGTGCTGGACACCTGCGTTCAGATGCCACAGGAGGGACCTGGGACAGCCCAGAGCTCCTCTCAGCGTCCGTCACTGCGGGCTCCGTTTCCTCTGTGCCACTTGGTGAGGTGCAAAGGGACAGGAACCTTCGGGAGAGGTGGCGCTGGCTGCACCCCAGTGACAGTCACATCCCTGTGCCCATCCCTGCCTCCTCAGGGCTCCTGAGCAGCTGCAGCAGGCCCAGGTGCTGGGATCCCTGTCCCTTTGCTGCAGCTGGGGCAGCCTGGCTGTCAGTGCCCTCCTCCAGAGCCTTCTGAGGGGTGGCAGGGTCCCGAGGTGCTGCTGGGGCACTGCAGCTGCCGTGCAGGAGCATTTCTGCAGCACAGGACAGGTCTCTGGCAGGTGGCCTGGGGAGTGTCCCGTGTCCCACCTGCCCTCTGGCCGGGGTGTGCCATGTCCCACGGTGCCCCAGGGGGCTGTGCCCATCACTGACTGCTCTCTCCTTCCTCCTCACCCTCAGGAGCAGAAGAGGATGCTGGAGCTGGGGATTACAGGCCCGGAGGGGCACGTCCTCAGCCACCCCGAGGAGGTAACGCCACCAGCCCTCGCTCCAAGCTCCAGACCCGCCGTGCTGAGGGGCTGGGACACCTGTGACGTGGGACACCTGTGACGTGGGACACCTGTGTCCTGGGATCCCTGTGTCATGGGACATCTGTGTCCTGGGACACCTGTGACATGGGACTCCTGTGTTGTGGGACACCTGTATCATATTCTTGTGGGATGCCTATGTCATGTCCTTGTGGGACACGTGTGTCACGTCCCTGTGGGACACGTGTGTCGTGTTCTTGTGCCCGCAGGTGGAGGCAGAGGCCGTGTTCCGTGCCATCACCATCGCCAGGCAGGCCAACTGCCCCCTCTATGTCACCAAGATCATGAGCAGGGGGGCTGCAGATGTCCTGGCTCAGGCCAAGAGGAAAGGTAACACTGGCCTGCACAGGCAGTCACTGAGCCTCTGAATCCAGCCAGGAAGCTCATTGTGACCGTGAGCTCTGAGGAGCCCTCATCTCCTGAGCTCCCCCTCGCCGAGGGCGCTGAGGCTCGTGCTGGTTTCCATGGTAGGCTGTGCCAGAGCTAATTGCTTGGAGCCGGGAGGATTGGATGTGTTGGAAGCTGTGACACTTCCATCTAGGCAGACACAGCTGAGAAACGGGGAATAATCCACTTGTGATGGTTTGGTGTGAACTGAATGAAAGCAGATGTGGAGCAAGCTCCAGATGGTGGCTGGGGGTGGAGTGGGAAGGGCTGGATCAGTCCTGGGGGAGCAGGGTGGAAGGGGGAGCACAGTCACCGCTCCCCGGCCCGTGGCTGCCAGACAGAGCCAGGTTTGGTCTAAAGGAAGGCATGACAGCCCGTAGGAATGCGTGCCTGGTGTAGGGAGGGGACAGACAGATGCAGACCTTGCTTTGGCAGTGTCTCCCCGTGGCCTGAGCTGACGTGAAGGATGAGCGGGGCTCTGAGGCTCTGAGTGCTGCAGGAGGGAGTGAGCTGCTGTGCGTGCCTGTGCCTGGGCCGTGCTGCCCTGACAGCCCCTCGCCCTGCAGGTGCCGTGGTGTACGGGGAGCCCATCACAGCCAGCCTGGGCACGGATGGCTCCCACTACTGGAGCAGAAACTGGGCCAAAGCCGCCGCCTTCGTCACGTCCCCGCCCGTCAGCCCCGACCCCAGCACGGCCGAGCACCTCAGCACTCTGCTCGCCAGGTGGGTGCCGTGGCACGCCCGGGCACAGCTGGGCACAGCTGGGCACACCTGCCCTGCCCGGTCTGCATCCCGCCCACGCCCACCCGATGCCATTTGCAGCACTGGCATGGCTGTGGGGCCCGAGCCCACTAGCCTTTGGTGCCCACGGGCTGCCCAGCAATGGGGGCTGTGCCAGCCTGGGGTGCCATCAGTGCCCCCTCCCTGAGCCCTGCCCTGTCCCTTCCCAGCGGGGACCTGCACGTCACGGGCAGTGCCCACTGCACCTTCACCACCGCGCAGAAGGCCGTGGGCAAGGACAACTTCACGCTGATCCCCGAGGGCACCAACGGCGTGGAGGAGAGGATGGCCATCGTGTGGGAGAAGTGCGTGGTACGTGCTGCAGGGAGCTGCGCCTGGCTCCGGGCTGTCGCTGCCTCGTTAGTGCAGACAGCCGCAGCAGTGACGCTGTCTAGACACTGCTGCAGCTTCAGAGAGCTGCCAGCGACAGGCTGAGACACACAGCTGCCTGCACGGTGTCTGCAAAGGCTGCCGAGCGGGGACCACCCTCCGCTCCTGCTCAGCCACCAGGGAGTGTCTGCAGCCCTTTCTCCCGAGGGTGGTGAGGTGCTCCTGTCCCTGGAGGGTGGATGGGGAGGGGGTGTCTCTCCCGTGGGACGTGACTGTGGCCATGCTTCCCACTGCCAGGTGACCCCAGGCCCCAGCAGGCTCCTGTCACCCCTGTGTGCCCGGCAGCAGGGCTGTGACCCGAGGGTGGCATCAGTCTGTGTCCCTGCACCCAGTGCCCACGTCCCTGCTGGCAGCATCCCTGGGGAGCTCCGTGCTCCATCCCACAGAGCAGGTGTCCCTGTGCAGCCTGCAGGAGCTTGGGAGCCAAGCCACCCTGAAACCTCTCTGAGATGGGCTTTGTTCAAACAGAAATACAACTTCTCTGAAGGTGACCAGTGAAGATGGTAAAGAAATAGCACGGCTTGGGTTCACTTCCAGTCTTTCTTCACTGGGCTGTCCTCAGCCCTCCTCAGTGATCCTGAGATGCCTGTGCAGGAGCTGGAGCCAGCCAGTGAAGGTTTTGTTTTCCAGAGACTTCAACCTTTGGAGTCCAAGGAAAATAAAACCTCTCTGTCATATCCTTTGTCCCACAGGGACAGTGCTCATCCTCACATCCCCTTCCCTGTAAGCACAGCCCTGTGGCAGAGCAGACCCTCACCCACATGGGCACAGGGCTGGGGGCAGCGGCTCCTGCCAGGGCACAGCCATGGGGAGGGACCTGCCCCCAGCCCTTGTTCCCTGGGATGTTTCCCCTCCCAGGTCCCCGGGAAGATGGATGAGAACGATTTTGTGGCAGTGACCAGCACCAACGCTGCCAAGATCTTCAACTGCTACCCCAGGAAGGGGCGCGTGGCTGTGGGCTCCGACGCTGACCTGGTGCTCTGGAACCCCAAGGCTACGAAAATCATCTCAGCAAAAACCCACCACTCGGTAAAAGACATTTTAAATCAGTTTCTGGGGCTGGTCTTACTGTCAGATCTGGAAAGCAATGTATGTCCTTAGCTAGATCGGATCATTCAGCACGGGAGGAGTTCTCTGTGTGGGTACACTGATGAAGGACCATGCATTTGCTTTTAAAAATAGTAGGAAAATATTCTTTTATTGCTGTAAGGGTGGGATTGGTACTGAGGGACCACTCCAAGACAGCTGACATCTGGCAAGGAAATATTGAGGTCAGTGTATTTGCTGTGGACTAGAGAAATGTAGGTGCTGAACTGAAATATTGAACTATTGCTGAACTGCAATGTGTATTAGTTGCAGTTTAATACGTATTAAACCATTGCTATAGTTTAATATATAATGGTATTAATCTTAATACAAAATCTAAATATTCCATAAAGAATATATAAATAATATAATAATATAAATATATTTTAATAAAAGTAGTAAACTATTGTTGTAGTTTAATATGATTTGTTTTAAGGTTTATTTTCTCCATTCCAGTTTGCTTGCCATTGGAATCTTGTAATTTGAAATATGGGGAGTTGGTTAGTTCTGACTGATGGTGCATGAGGAGCAATGTACAAAAATGCGGGGCATTGTTGGCCTCCTCTTCAATCCTGCAGGCACTGAATATCAGGGTTTGCTTTTCCAGAATGTGGAGTACAACATATTTGAAGGCACTGAGTGCCACGGGGTCCCAACCTTGGTGATAAGTCAGGGAAGAGTTGTCCTTGAAGATGGAAATCTGTGTGTCACCCAGGGCTCAGGTCGCTTCATCCCTAGGAAGACCTTCCCTGACTTCGTTTATAAAAGGATAAAGGCAAGAAACAGGGTAAGGAGAGTTTTATTTGCCATAATCCCTTGTTTTGATCGCTATCTCTCAGCTGTAGTGTATTGGGGCCGCTGTGCTGGCAAACCTGCAACAGCAGCAGGAGTATTATCAATGCCGTTTCTTTCTGTGTGTAACTGCCTGGATGTCAGTCAAGAATTCTTAGTATTAGAGCTAAAAATGACAGTTTTATTAGCCTATTACAATGTTACAAAGCAAAAATATGAGTTCTTTGTATTGATGTAGAGGGAAGAATTCCTCTCTTACCTGTGCTAGAGAGGTTTCTGTTGCTGTATTCTCAGTGTCTGCTCTGCAGCTTTTGGAGGGGTAAGGGATGTACATCCCATAGGTGCTGGAATACAGTAAGATAAATGTTCCTGTGTGCTGGCACAGCTGTTTAAAGAGACACAAAGAGATGCAAATATGTAAAGAGCTTCGTAGCAGCTCTGTCCTCCTTCCGTTTTCCCTGTGCTATTGCAGACACTGTAATTCTGCATCTTACAGAAAGGCAGAGCAGGAACCAGTAACCCAAATACGCTGCAGAGGCAGGAGCCCCAACTCTGGTGTGCCCCAGGGTGTCTGGGGTGCCTGGAGGGCAGGATGGGGATGTGCCAGCTCCCTGCAGGGTGGGAATGGGGCCCAGAGAAGGTGCAGATGCCCCATCCCTGGAGGTGTCCAAGGCCAGGCTGAAAGTCCTTTGAAGACCATCATTCTCCCTGGGCTGGGCAGCTGTGCCAGGGCAGCCGTGCCAGGGCAGGGTAGCTGTGCCGGGGCTGGGCAGCCGTGCCAGGGCAGCCGTGCCCTCTCCATGGAGGAACGTTCCCGTACCCAGCCCAGTCTCCCGGCACAGCTGGAGGCGCTGCCCCGGCCGTGCTGACGCCGTTCTCCCCGCAGCTGGCCGAGGTGCACGGCGTGCCCCGGGGCATGTACGACGGGCCGGTGCACGAGGTGCCGGCCAGCGTCAGGACCGCGGCCCCGCGCGTCGCACCCTGCGCCGGCAAAGCCGCGGCGCCGCCCGTGCGCAACCTGCACCAGTCCGGCTTCAGCCTGTCCGGTACGTGGGGCCAGCAGGGCAGGGGCACTGCTGCAGGGCTGGGCTGGGCGGGGGCGCCGCTGCAGGGCTGGGCCACGGAAACCTCAGCTGCGTGCTGTGGCTGCAGCCCGGGCACCGCGTGCGGCGCGGAAAGCGCTGGAGTGTTCCACGGTGTTTCTGTCAATGCACAGAGCCTGCTGGGGGCTCTGTTCCCAGGAGCCAGAGCAGGCAGTGATTCAGCACCATTTGTGCTGCAGAAAGCTGCCCAGCAGCTGTTGGGAGCTTGGAAAGCCAATGCTCTGCCCTAAAATCACTTCCATAATGGTTTTTAGCTGGTTGGATCACATGGGTCCCGTACTGTCTGATAAATGTTACCAGTCTGCACATTTTATTATATACAGAATTTATTTCTAGGAAAGCCACTTATAAATCTTCCAGAAAGAAACAATGAAAAATTAAGTTCAGCCAAATATAGCCACTCCAAACTGTGCCGTGCTCACAGAGTGTCCAAAACGGCCCATAATGAAATTGCTGGTATTTGCTGAGGAGATGTTGTGTGGCTGTGGCGTTTCAGCGGCGGCACTGCCGCTCTCTGCTCCCCGCAGGCTCCCAGGCCGATGACCACATTGCGCGGCGCACGGCGCAGAAGATCATGGCCCCGCCGGGCGGCCGCTCCAACATCACCTCTCTGTCCTGACCCGGCCCCGCGCCGGCCCCGCCGCCGCTGCCAGGCCGGGGCCGCGCTCGCCAGCTGCGCCAGCTGCGCCAGCCCCTCCCGCTAGGTAGAGTAGAGCGACCCCCGAGGCAGCGCTCCCGCTTGGGCTCCCCGCGCGTTCCCTCGCTAGCTGCTAGGAAAGCCCTTCCCTCCTGTGCATGCCCGGCCCCGGGGCTGCGGGCCCGCGTGGGCATGAAGGCGCGTCCCGGCTGGATCACGCTCCTTGCCAGCAGCTCCACTGCCCGCTCTCATCCAAGGACTTACAACGGACGAGCGCTGCCGCGGTTTCCAGCCAGAGCCCTCCGCCCCGGCCGAGCCTCCAGAGCCATCCCCAGCCCGTGTGTCCCTCTGCGGTCGCAGCTCAGGGACAAGTGCAGCCCCGTGCCCTGGGACAGAGTGGTGCTGCCCCTCCAGGACCTGGCCATGCCGTGGGCTGATGTCCTTCTGTCAGCCTTGTTTTCTAAAGATCATTTATACGGTTTTTTAAGAACTGATTGTGAGTCCAATACCAAATACCGGGACTCGTTTGGAGGCCAGGTGCACGCAACACACTTTTTTATAAAGATTATTCTAGCCCAGGTATTACATTTAAAGGTGTGTACACAGAGTGAACCTCGGGCTGCAGAGCCATGCATGTACATCCAGGAATGGCTTTCTGTTCCTGTCTGCTCCTTGCTTGGAATAAACTTGGCTGGAAACCATGAAATGGTAGAAGTGGTTGATCGACCCGAGTCCATTTTGTTGTTTTGTTCCTTTGAGTTTTTCTGGTGAGGCTGGGACCATCCCATCGTGACGTGCAGGTTGCTGTGCTCCTTTTGAGGGGGACAGGCTCGTGGTGGCAGCGTGGGCAGAGTGCCTCCCTTCTCCTCAGCCGTGCTCCCTTGGTTCGCACATGAACCCACAGCTCCAGGAGTGGGGCTGGCTTCCCCTCTGCCCACACTGGTTCCAGTGCTGGTGAGACCTCATGGCATGACCATGAGACACCGATCTCCCTGGCACTGCCAGCCTTGGCTCTCCAGCTCTGTCTGAGCCAGGCACGAGAAACACAGCCGGGGTTGTGGTGGCACAAGCAGGGATCTGATTTATGGGTGGGGGCTGGAGCCACACATGGCAGCTCCAGATACATGACTCCATGAATTAGGAATGAAACCACAAATATAAACCAGGGAGGGATTTATTTTTTTGCTGGGGGTTTTTTGATTATCTGATATGACCTACATTTCACAGCTTAGTGCTGCAGTAATTTCTGTGCTAAGCACATGGGAATGTATTTGTTTGGATGCTTTATATTTAATTTTAAATTTAATTTAATTTATTTCATTTGTTGATTTTCTGATTTTCCCTGAAATTGCACCAAGGCAGTTAACATCTAGTGGAAGGTATCCCTGCCATGGCAGGGGGTGGAATGAGATGAGCTTTAAGGTCCCTTCCAGCCCAAGCTATCTATGATTCTATGATCTCTTTTTGTCCTGAATAGAGCTTAAGTTACAGCAGTGGGAAATCCATAAGGAGTGGGAAGGATGGAAGTCACAGTCTGATGGCAGTGACCTCCCCAGCACCCCAACATCCATGGGGTGCCAGGGACACCCCAGCACCCCGAGCTTGTAAACACTTGGCCAAGGAGGTTCTGAGCTCCCTGTGCTGCCGATGTCCCCTTTCCCACAGCTGGCCTGGTTGGTGCCAGTGAGGGCCCAGCAGAGTCACTGTCCCTCTCCCACATCACCCGGTTCAGGTCCCTCCGCCCTGTGTGGCAGCCCAAGGCTGACGCCCTGCCAGCCGTTCCCTAGGGAGGGAAGGTTTGCATTCATTCCCTCTGTCAGGGAGCTGCAGAGCCAGCGCAGCTGCCCCAGGCTGCTCCCAGTGCAGGACAGGGCCAGCAGCATCTCTGCAGCTCCCCGGTGCCAGGAGAGGCTGAGCTGGCAGGGAACCCCCCCGTGGCGCCCACGCCGTGTCTGCCCCTAATTCCTTTGGACAGCTTTCCTGCAGGCTCTGGGTCAGGGACACGGCGAGACGCGCACTGCCCTTGACTGGCAGCACAGCCCTGGCTCTGCAGAGGCTCTACAGAGCTTGTGTCTGCTGTGGGGATGGGCCCCAAGTACCTCAGCACAGCAGTGCTGCTCAGGGATGGACCCCAATCCCCTCGGGACAGCAGTGCTGCTCAGGGATGGACCCCCCCAGTCCCCTCAGGAACGCAGTGCTGCTCAGGGATGGACCCCAACTCCCTGAGGATAGCAGAGCTGCTCAGAGATGGACCCCAATCCTCTCGGGACAGCAGTGCTGCTCAGGGATGGACCCCAATCCCCTCAGGAACGCAGTGCTGCTCAGGGATGGACCCCAATCCCCTCAGGAACGCAGAGCTCCTCAGGGATGGACCCCCCCAGTCCCCTCAGGAACGCAGTGCTGCTCAGGGATAGACCCCCCCCAATCCCCTCAGGACAGCAGTGCTGCTCAGGGATGGACCCCAACTCCTTAGGGAACAAAGGAGCTGGCAGGCAGGCACTGAGCTACCCCCGTGCTTATCCCTGGTTTCCATGCTCACTGTGTCTTTTCTGTTTATTTTTATTTTGCACAGCTTCCCACTGCCACAGGGCAGGGTCAGGCCCTGGCACAGGTGCCCAGAGCAGCTGTGGCACCCCTGGATCCCTGGCAGTGCCCAAGGCCAGGCTGGACACTCGCTCCTGGCCTTGGAGCACCTGGGACGCTGGAAGGTGTCCCTGCCCATGGCAGGGTGGAACAAGCTTTAATGGCCCTTCTCATGCAGACCACTCTGGAATTCTGTGGTTCTGTGATTTCCCTCATGTCCAGCGCCCTGATCAGCAGCAGGATCAATTGCAGCAGGTAAGAAAGACAAAGCTGGTTGGTGAGGGTCATTTGTCCTTGGCAAATTCCAGTTGTCACTGTTTAGGGTTTAGGCACAGTGGTGATGGCACAGGGCTGGCAGACACTGAGCTCTCCTGGCTGCTGTGAGCATTTCAGTCTCTCAGTGTCCCCTGCCCTGGATTTCAGGGATTTTTTGGGTTTTATTTTCAGATTTCCCTGTGTGTGGGAAGCTGCCCTCACTCTGTGACCCTCACCTTTCCCCCTGCAGTGCACAGCCCAGCCCAGCAGGTACCCTCGGTGCCTGGGGACACCCAGGAGGGTGCAGAAGGGACGAGTCCAGGCTCAGACATGGACTGTCTCAGCCTGCACTGCTCCTCTGAAGTGAGCAGCATCCCTGGGAGCTGTGTCTGTGCTGCCACCAGCGAGCAGCACGGTACAAGCCAGATAAATCATTCCTGCACTGAGGGCATCAAAGAGAGAAAGCAGAGATCTCCTGACACTTCCAGGGGTGCTTTTATTGAGGTTAGGATACAAAATCCGGGGCTGTGTGGGGAAATACCAAACCCCTGTGAGCCGTGGCTGTGGAAATACCAAAGCCTTCTGTGCTGCAGCGAGGTCGGGTCCTGCCCTGTGCCCCCTGCCCCTGTGCACGGATGGCAGCAGGGCCAGAGTGGGCACAGCTGTCCTGTGACGGTGTTCACAGGGGTCCAGAAGGCTGATTCATTATTTTATGATATATATTACATTAAAACTATACTAAAGGAATAGAATGAAAGGTTCTCCTCAGAAGGCTGGCTAAGCTAAGAATAGGAAGGAATGCTAACAAAGGCAGCTGTCCCAGACTCTCAGTCCGAGCCAGCTGACTGTGATTGGCCATTAATTAGAAACAACCCCACCAGACCAATCCCAGATGCACCTGTTGCATTCCACAGCAGCAGATAACCATTGTTTGCATTTTGTTCCTGAGGCCTCCCAGCTTCTCAGGAGGAACAATCCTAAGGAAAGGATTTTCATAAGAAGATGTCTGTGACACTGTCCCAGGCCAGTGGCCGTGCCTGGGGCTCCCATCCTCACTGGGATCCCAGCCCAGGGTGAGCAGGCACAGCTCTCCAGGGAACACACGCCCTGCCTGGCACCGAGAGGGGCACACGGAGCGCCTGGGGCCGGCTGTTCCCCTTCCAGCACCTGGTTCTGAGCTGGTGGTGGTCCCACAGCTCCCGTCCCACCCAGCTCTGTGCCAGCTGGCAGCGTCCCACCAGCCCTGGTTCCAGCTGGGTTCCTGAACTCCAGCGTTTGGACGCTTCCCTGCATCAATACCCTGGGAATGACACCAAATCCTTGGCAATGTTAAAAATACACATTTATTACTCCACATGTGCAATGGCTTCCGACAGTATCTGCAAAAACACAGCCTGGTCATAACTTAAATATTCTGTGATGTGGTAAAATTGTCATGCAAGAAAATTACAGGAATGTATTAACATAAAATACAATGATATATTTACATATATCTGCACTGAAATAGTTTTTAAAAATACCCTCTCAAGGCAGCAGGATTTCAGTCCAGGGTCAAGTCCATATTACTGGTATTTTTGCTATTATTTTATTACTCTTAAACTCTTTTGGCAAGCTCTGGAGTAATAGAGAATTGGCAACAGAAGAAACATCAGGACCTGACCTGCCATTTGTCTTATGCATAAAATTCCCAGTGAAGGCTGTGGAATTCAATGCAAACACTTAAAAATATGCAACTTTGCAAAACTTTGTAACACAACAGAGATAAGAAAACAATCTCATGGCAAGTGATTAAAGGAGAATAATTCATAGGTGCTGTAGACTTTTCACAGCAGATAATGGCACACACCGTATAAATCTGTCATACAAAAAATACAGGTATTTAAATATTTATGTACAGAAAATTCCTGTGTTCTGGCTGTGGTGGAGGTGCAGCCCAGAGCTGTTGGTGACACCTTCCAAGCTGGGACGTGGGACCAGGGCTCTGTCACGAGTTCACTGTGAGGTTTGCTCAGCAGCAGCAGCAGCCAGGGCTCAGCCAGAACAAGGGCACCACCACGGGCACCACCACGGGCACCACCACGGGCACCACAGCCATGCCCAGCCCAGCCTGTGCCAGGGCCAGGGAACACCCAGGGGAGTGGCACAGGGAGCAGAGGGGATCAGAGCCCAGGACTGCATTGTGGATGGGGTGAGCCAGGCGTGGGGCACCGTGGCAGGAGCCACAGAGATGTGCAGGGCCAACAGGACTGAGCTGGGCTCAGCTGGCACTGGCCCATACAGGGACACGGCAGTGGGGACACAGGAGGGGCCCAGAGAGGGGCACGGGGGGCAGGAGCACTGAACCCCTCCACAGGGGTTCTGACAATGACAATAACACTGAGCTGCTGGCACTGATGTTCCTGTCAATTGTCCCTTTTCCAACTGCTCTTTTCGTGCCATTTCTACTGCAGGGACTGAGTGCAAACAGGGGGCAATGAAACCTTGTCCCCCACGGGCTCCGGTGAGGTTATGCCCAAATATTATTTATGACCAAAACCAAGCACTTCAGCGCTGTGTCCTGGTGTCACTCCCAGCCAGCACAGTGACCACAGCTCCGTGTGCTGGGGCTGCTCTCAGGGACTCGGGTCCAACAGCGTCCCCAGCACAGCCCGGGGACGCATTGCTGGGTTCCAGGGTGCTGCCCAGGCAGCCAGGACCCACCCAGAGTGTTTGCCCTGGGCAGGAGCCGTTCCCTGGCACCCCCAGAGGCTCTCCTGGTCTGTGCCGGGTGCTGCTGTGTTGCACAGAGCACTGGGGAAGGGGAGTGCTGCGAGGGGAATGGGTGAGTGACAGAGAGAGGGCTTGGGCTGGGGAGGCTCAGTTTGAGAAGCAAGCCAGCTCCTCCCCACACACACCACCCCCACCACACTCGTCTCTTGTCCTAAGGAAAGCAATGAAAACATCGATTACACACGTCCTGTAACTGCCAACACCTCTCCTGGCCTGACAGCTTCTGGCTGAAGAGGATGGATCTTCATCACTCATCTGTGGGATGGTTTGGTCAAAAAATCAGCACTGCTCCTCATCGTTCCAATAGTCCAAAATTTTGCTGTTATTTACAGGAAGTTTCTAAATAGTGCAACAGAATTCACTGTAAAGCCCTACCCACAGTGCTGGAGTAAATCACCTGTAATTCATAACTCCTGAATAAATACATGGCTTGAGCCTCATCTGCTGTGCCAGGAGAGGGCTGGTGTTGCAGCTGAGGGATGTGGGATGGAGACAAGGTGAGCACAGAGCCCTGGGACAGAGGACCAGGCTGCCCGTGTGCAGAGCAGGGGCTGCTCAGCGCAGCACGAGCCCCGCACACACCTGAGCTCTGACAGGTGAGACAAGGTCATTGGGCCTCCCTGGTACCCAGCAAAGAGACTGGAAGTTACTGGGGGCAGAGAGGGCAGGTTCCCCAGCACAGCCTGGGATCAGGGCCAGGGTAGGTGCCCTCCTGCGGCTGGGAGAAGGAGCAGGAGGACACAGTGATTTCAGCACTCGGTCAATGACTGGCCACAGCCCCTGAGCCTCATTAACACAGCTCCTAACGAGGCACGGGGTGTGCCGGACCCACGGCCGGCACCAGGGACCCCGGGCCTGACAGCATCTCCTGGCTCTGCCCCGAAAATAACCATGCAACTGGAGCCAGAGCTGCAGCTCCCCTCCTCCTGCACAGCCCTACAGACCTCACTGAAAACACGTCTCTGCACAAGCGCAGCCACACACCGATTCCCACATAAAACTGTGGGAGACACACACGCCGTGCCCTTGCCTGTGGAAGATCATTTTGTACCATTCTGCCTTTCTGGTTTGTTCATGGAAACAAAAACCGCAGCAAAACTGGTGCTGACAGAATCTGATCTGTTAAAAACGCCTCCCATCCGTTCCTGCATTAGGAATGCCCAGCACCGCAGCCTGCAGTGCCTGGCACAAACAGCTGCTGGTGGCTGATGGTGACTGTGGTCCCACCACACACCTGGAGCAGTCCTGTGGCACTGCAGGGCTCGGGGTCACAGCGACCACAACCCCTCCCTCTGCAGCAGGGTCAAGAGCCAACACAGCGAAGGACCTGCAACGAGAAAGGCAACACCCACAGCTGCAGCAAGGGAAGATTTCCCGTCTTAGTAAGAAGTTAAGACAGGTATTGGCAAATTATGTACAATACTTGTACTTTACACTGAAAATAAAGTAAATCGAAGGGTGAAATACAATATTTCTGTCTTTCATAACCAAGCAGCCTTGCAAGGCCACCCACTCTGCCTCCAACAAAACCTCAGCCTGTGATAAACTGTGTCCTCTGAGCCTGGGCACATGGAGCCAGACCCTCCAACCCATCCCACAGCTCCTCACTGCCTGCAGCAGCCACGTCAAGGAAGAAAACATTTTAAATGCATCTCAAATACACATTGAACCATTACGCAGCCCCTGAAGAATCCGTGGAGTGCACACAAAACATTTATTTGCCTTGAATCTGAAGGAACTGACAGGTGACACAGGGACAAGGGGCTGCCTGGGACACCCTTGTGCTGCAGGACCCAAGCAGCTGGAGGCTCCCAGGAGCTGGTGCCAGAGAGCCCCGGGGCTGCACAGGGATTGCCCATCCCCAGAGCAGCATTTGTGAACAGGGGGTGCCAAAGCCAAGCTCACACCCCTCTTTGGCCTTCCTCCCTGCTCCTTGTCTCTCCCCGTGGGGCCCAAGGACATGGCTTCGTTCCGTGTCCTCTCACTGCATTAAAAACGTGTGGAGCAGCAACCTGACACAAAAACAGAAAGACTAAATAAGTTGATCTCCTCCTGACAAGTTGCATAGGCCGTATCTTCCCCGACAGGCAGCCATGGCCGGGGCTGGCCATCCATGGCCGGGGCAGTCCTGTGTGAATCTGGCTCCTGGGCTGGCCATCCTTGGCCCGGGCAGGGGCAGTCCTGTGTGAATCTGGCGTGCTGCAGCTCTCAGGGGCAGCTGGGCTGGGCTGGCCATCCTTGGCCAGGGCAGTCCTGTGTGAATCTGGCGTGCTCCGGTCTCAGGGCAGCTGCCAGTGCTGTCCAGCGGGCTCGGGTGCTCGGCGCACCTGAGGGCAGGTGAGGGCGGCGGCCGGCCCCGGCCTAGCTGCTGCCCGAGGAGCACACGGAGCTGCACATGTGCAGGGGCTCGGCCTCGGCCTCCTCGGTGGTCTCAGAGGCAGACACGGACTCGCTGGGCTGCTCCTGGCTCCTCTTTAGCCTGTGGGAGCAGAGGAACAGGAGTTACAGAGCTGTCCCCAAGCTGTCCCCCACTCCCTGCTCGAGAGGTGCCTAAGGCACAGCCACGGAGAATGGAGTCCTCCCAGAGCTCACACACGGGTCACGACAGAGCCCAGAGTATCAGCAAACCACACTGGCCTGCTCTGAAATGCCCCAAAGCAGCCTGCAGGGCTTCAGCCCAGCCAGACCTCGGCCACGAGCGCCCACAGCACAGGCAGGCTCCTGCCAAGCCCTGCTGCACAGAGCCTGCCCCACGCTCTGCTCACGGACCCAACTGCCCCAGCCCTGGGGAAGCCGTGGCTTTCATCCAGCATTTCACTGCCTCCTGATTCCCACCAGGGACTGCTCCAACCTGAACGATCCTGTGAATCTATTCTATGTGTTAAAGAGCTCCACAATCATTGAGTCCAACCCTCCTTGCCTTCATTTCCCAAAACATCATCTGCTGAAAGCAGGATGGGTGAGCAGGTGCCGCGGGGGAATGGAGGCAGTCACACACACGTGTTAAATCCCAGAAGTCTCTGTACAGCATATTTTATTTAATGGCGCTCAATAATCCTTGATATTGCTTCCCACTGTGGCTGGAGCCACTTTTCACACACAGGCAGACCTGAGCTCCTCTGCTGACACCAGTCACCTGGGGCTAAGCCGGCAGCAAGGTGCTCGTGGCTGTCAGCCACTGGCACTGATTCCTAAGGGAAGTCAGAAAAAGGAGTATTTTTCCATAAAAAACACCCCACACACTCACTTCTCTCTGTTGAAGATGACAAAGTCCTGCTGGATAGCTTCAAGGCATTCCTGGAGATAGTCATTTTCCTATTGAAGAAAAACAAAACATGCATAAGCAGCCCCATCTGCATCTCACTGCTGCCTGCAGCCCCCAGCTCTCCCAGCTGTGTGCAGGAGCCTCCAGCTGTGGGCAGGAGCCCCCACCCCCCTGAACCTCAGCCCAACAGCTGGAGGCAGCAGGGCTGGTGCCTGGCTTTCACCAGGGGCTGGTGCCATCCATGGCAGCAGCTTTCCATAAAACACAGATCACACCGTTCCTGACATAAACATAATTCATTTCTCCACGTATCCTGTATTTTGGGAGTGCTGTCAGCCCAAAGGGAGCTCGGGGAGAGCCCAGCACACAGCCCACGTGTGGGAGTCCCTGCCAAGGCACACAGGGAGCTGCTGCCTTGTGCCCAGCCTGGGGCTGTGCAGGGACAGAGGCTGAACACACCAGACCTCTGCTGCTCATCTCACTTCCCAAAGTACCCACTACTGTGAAAGTCTGATCAAACTCCCATAAGAGGATACGTGGTTGTTGGAATGACTCCCTGGGCAAATGTTTTCATCAAAACAAACCCATGGCTCCGGCGGTGCGGCAGTCACAGCTGCAACACGCGCCCAGATCCAGCCTCTCCCAGCTGCACGTTGCCCCAGGGAGCACATACAGACTGCGAGCTGTCTTTGCTGTTGTCCCTTGACTTGTTCTTGGCGAGCCTCTTCTTCTTCTTGTGCAGGGGCCGTGACTCCAGGATCATCTCCTCCAGCTCGAAGGTGGGGTCGCAGTGCAGGCGGCCCTTCTGCCAGGACAGGGGACACACGGGGTGAGGCACGGCAGAGACCGGGACCCCCTGCCCCTCGGCAAGGCTGCTCTCACAGCGGCCCCGCAGCCCCTGCTCGCACAGGACGGGTCCCCACTCACGTTGGGGACGAAGGCCGGCTCCACGCGCTTCTCGCTCACGTCGCTCCACACCACGCCCGAGAGCTGGGCCGAGGCCTGGATGTGCGCCAGGCAGGAGAAGCGATGCTCAGGATTCACCGTCAGCAGCTGGGGAGGGAAAAGCTCTGCTGAGACAGCGCTGCAGAGAGCGGCATCGCTGCCAGAGGAGGAAGGCAAGGCAGCCAGCAGCAGCCTGCACGGCCAGCTGCAGGGCTCAGCCACGCCAAGGAGCCTTTCTGCTGGGGGAAACAGAGAACTCACTGCAGGAAAAACACCCAAGAAAACGTTCTGCAGGCACCCCAGTGCTCGGGGGGGACATGGGGGTCCCCTCCTGGCTGAGGGAGCTGCTGGCACACACCTGGTGAGGCTGGATTCCCTGGCAGCCCGGCTGCCCAGCAGATGGCAATGCAAACCCACCGAATGCACCGCCACAGCCTCTGCCAGCAACTCCTCATTAAACTGAATCTAATTATGCAAATTGCCCACCCAACATTAACTCATATCAGAGGCACTTATTTGCTGCCGGCAGCAGCTGCATCTTTCCTACAACAAACTCACCAGCTACTTTTCAGAGTTCTCAAGCAAGCCAGAGCTAAACCAGCTGCCCAACACATTCCAGCTTTCTGCAGCAGCAGCACGAGGAAAGCTGCAGAGAATTCCACAGAGCTGGAACCCCCAGCAGCTCCCACAGCCCTGTCAGACCCTTCAGCCCCAAAGAACAAGTGAGAGGGAGCAGCCAGTGCTGCAGTGCAGCTCCACCTCAGCTGCCATCCCAGCCAGAGGTGCTGCCTTTACAGGTGACACTGACCATGGAGAGGATGGGGTGCTGGAAGGCACAATTCTAGCCCAGCTGGGAATCTGACTGTCACACCAAAACCAGACTTTTTGATCCCCTTGCTATCAAACATCATGCATCTTATTACAAAGATAATAAACACACAGCACACATAATTAATCATAGGGTCCCAGACTGGACTGGGCTGGAAGCTCACCTTGCCATGGCAGGGACACCTCCCCCTGTCCCAGGTGCTCCCAGCCCCAGTGTCCAGCCTGGCCTTGGGCACTGCCAGGGATCCACGGGCAGCCACAGCAACAATTCCCAGTTCCCAGTATCCCATCCATCCCTGCCCTCTGGCACTGGGAGCCATTCCCTGTGTGCTGTCTCTCTATGCCTTGCCCCCAGTCCTTCTCCAGCCTCTCCTGGAGCCTCTTTAAGCACTGGAAGGGGCTTTAAGGTCTCCCTGGAGCTTCTCTTCTCAAGGCTTAACATCCCTAACTTTGCCAGCCTGTGTTTTGTAAATTACTATAATTACTCTTATTATTCACTGTTTATTAATATGCTGATAATTCTCCAGCTAGTCCTGCCTGCACAGCAGCTGCCATCCAACCCAAAGCCTCCCCAGAAGGACAATCCACCCAGCAATCCACGCAGCTGCACCCCAGCAGGGCCCTCACCTTGCGCAGCAGCGCGACCATTTCCTTGGACCAGGCTGAGGAGTACTGCACGCTGACGGTGCTGAAGAGCTGCACCAGGGACTCCACGGGGTTGTTGGAGTGGATGTCGTACGGCCTCTGGGGACAAGAGCACAGGGGTGAGGCGTGCCCTGTCCCTCCGGGCCAGCCAGAGCACACACGGAGGGCCGGGACGGCCGGAGCCCTACCCAGCCCCGCAGCAGCTCGTAGGCCATGATGCCCAGGGACCACCAGTCCACCTCGAAGGAATAGCCCGTCCCGCCGCTCAGGAAGGAGTGGAAAATCTCCGGGGCTGAGCAGAAAGGCACAACACACAACAGGTTATTCATTGCTCTCTACTCCGGTAGCTCATGTCAGTCAGTGCGCGGCGCTTAGGGTGATCTTCCTGCACGGCTGCCCCAGGGCAGGCTGCGTGAGGCAGGGGAGCAGCAGCTGTGTGCCTGCCCTCACCGGGAACTGGGGCGGCAGCCACCTGCAGGGACAGCCCTCCCAGCACAGGACAGCACAGCCACGGGCCCCAGCAGACACCGAGCGCAAGGCTGGAGCCAGAGAGGGATGGGGAGCGCAGGAGGAGGAGGCTGGATGGGATGAGGAGGGCAGGGCAGGATGGAGGGGACTGGACAGGATGTAATGCAGAAGGCAGGATGGGACAGTCTGGGCCGGGCCGGGCCGGGATGGGATGGGATGGGACGGGACGGGACGGGATGGGATGGGATGGGATGGGATGGGATGGGATGGGGTGACATGCCAACCCCGATGCCTTCTCATTGGGAGTTCCCCTTCTCAAACAATTGGGCTCTGCTGAAGCACTTGGACACGAGCACCAATGTCCTGAATTAACTGCAGGGCCCTGGCTGGGGCAGCATGTGCTGAGCACACAGAACATGACACAGGCACGAGAGCAGTGATTGTCTCTTACCCATGTACGGCTTTGTCCCAGCCAATGCTGTCGCTCTTTCCCCGTCCCTAATGATGGTTGCAATATTAAAATCTGTTAAATGGGCATGACCTTAAATAAAGACACATTTTAAGAAGGAATTAATGGCAGTGCAGCGTCAATGCAGAGTCAGAACACATTTGTTTCATAAGCTTCTGCCCTCAGACAGGGTAGCACAGACATGGGCAGGTCAGAGTCAGATCCCATGGATCCCAAAGGTTTCCCAGGATTTGGGCTGGCCAGGTGATTAAAGGGTAGGCAGCTTTGGGTTTTGATTTTGAATCACACTTGGATCTAGCCAGCAAGCCCCAGCAGCTTCAGCACTGGCCAAATTGCTCTGGCCAGAAGCTACAGGAGTGAAAAAGACACCAGAGAAACACAACACTATCATAGAACCACAGAATGCTTGGGTTGGAAAGGACTTAAAGATCGTCTCGTTCCAAGCTCCTGCCATGGAGCTTCCACTAGACACGGGTGCTCCAAGCCACTGAAACCATTGAAGTGCAGTGACTCCAAATTCCCAGGGCTGAAGTTGGGCTGACCACAGCACACTGGACAGGCCAGTTGGGTGACCCTCTCCACATTAAAAAGCACAGGGATGTTCAGGCAAACATGATCCAGTAAAAGCAGAGCAGCTTTTCCCACACTTTCCCCAGATAAAAAGATATCCAGTACCCAGGACAGAATCTGTCCCTGGAATGAATGAGGGAGCAAACAAAGAGAAGCAGATTGATCCTACCTTGTTCATCGAGGAGGATGTTGTCTGGTTTTACATCTCTGGGAAAAGAAGGAAGATTACAGCAGATGGAATCTCAGTCAGACCAGGGATGAGACTCAATGACAAAAATCCTGCAATTGTTTGTCTATCAAAAGTTAGGAACAAATTAAACAAAAATATTCTAACATAAGGCAAGAAATAAGGACTAGAAATAAGGACTAGAAATAAGCACTTCCTGGGCAACTTGGTGAAAAACTGGAAGGATCAGACTTGTTTAGGAAGGAAAGAAATTCCCAAGGAAAAGGAATAACAATACTGGGGATATTTGTGTGAATGGATGGCTTTAACACCTGCCCTGAAATGTTCAGTGCCCAGTGAAGCATCAGACTCCCTCTCTGGGTGGTGGAGGCAGGACCAGCAGCCAAGGGGGATCAGGAGCAGCACCATGAGCCAGCCCAGGGCAGCACCATGAGCCAGCCCAGGGCAGCAGGGCAGGAGCAGCAGCATGAGCCAGCCCAGGGCCGCAGGGTGGGCAGGAGCAGCACCATGAGCCAGCCCAGGGCAGCACCATGAGCCAGCCCAGGGCAGCAGGGCAGGAGCAGCAGCATGAGCCAGCCCAGGGCCGCAGGGTGGGCAGGAGCAGCACCATGAGCCAGCCCAGGGCAGCACCATGAGCCAGCCCAGGGCAGCAGGGCAGGAGCAGCACCATGAGCCAGCCCAGGGCAGCAGGGTGGATCCAGCAGGCCCAGCAGAGCTGTGGAGTTACCTGTGGATGATGTGCTGGCTCCGCAGGTAGTCGAGGGCCAGCGCCATCTCACAGATGTACAGTTTGACTGTCTCCTCAGTGAACTGCACGTTCTGCTGCAGGTGGTAGCGCAGGTCACCTCCCAGGAGCAGGTCCACCACCATGAACATGTCCTCCTCGTCCTGGAAGGAATACCTGCAGCACAGGGGAGCGGCTGAGCCTCCCAGGGCTCACAAACCCAGCCAGGCTTTTCTCCTCTGCTCATCACACAGCACCAGGGAGAACTGCACGTGGCCCCACCAAGGGCACAGAATCCCAGAATCGTTTGTGCTGGAAAAGCTCTCTCAGACCTTTGATTCCAACCATTTCCAGCACTGCCACTACTGCCCACGTCCCCAGCTGCCACAACCACATGGCTTTTAAATCCCTCCAGGGGATTTAGAAGCCATAGGGACTCCGCCACTGCCCCAGGCAGCTGTGCCAGAGCTGGGCAGCCCTTTTGGATAGAAAATTTTCCCTAATATCCACCATGCCCCTGCCCTGGCCCAGCCTGAGGCCGTTCCCTCTGCTCCTGTCCCTGTTCCCTGGAGCACAGCCCGACCCCTGGGCTGTGCCCTCCTGGCAGGAGCTGTGCAGAGCCACAGGGGCCCCTGAGCCTCCTTTGCTCCAGGCTGAGCCCCTGCCCAGCTCCCTCAGCCCCTCCTGGGGCTCCGGCCCCTTCCCAGCTCTGTTCCCTGCCCTGGACACGCTCCAGCCCCTCAAGGTTGGGCCCAAAACTGAAGATGTAGCTTTGCTGCTTGCACCTTCACAATCAAGCAGGTCCAGCTCAAGATGCTTGCTTGTTTTGTAAATCAATTCCTACACTAAGCAATGTTTCCCTGAAAGAGATGAGTACCCCAGGTAATGTCCCCCTGCTCGCCTCGTCACTGTCCCTGAGCAGCTGTGCCATGTCAGCCCACCAGCACAGAGCTCAGGCTCTGCCAGCCAGACACTTGAGGAAAACTTCACATTTTCAACTGCAAACAATCTCATAAAACCTACTTAAAATATCTCAGCCTATCTTAAAGATGAATTGGAAAACACAACTGCTAATTTAACCAGATAAACCAGGAAAAGAGATTTATATTTACTGTGGAGTAAACCGCCTCTCTAAATCTGCTGTGGGTCCCACGGGAGACTGACAGCAGTGGGGATACACCAAACAACGCTCATTGTTATATTTGGTGACTGCACTTCCAAGGAAAGAGTATGTGGGATTGTATAATACTTATGAATCACTCACTTCTGCTCCCATCTTAAATGCAGGTTTATTCTAAAATTATGAGACTAAAGGGTTTGCTACGAGAACAAGTTCTCTCCAGAATTTCTCTGCTTGTCGGGAAAAACATTTGCAATCGCTAAGAAACCGAAAAATATCAATATTAACTCAATTGGCTATTCTGGAGCAATGGATCAACAAAACAAATGTGACACATCACCCACTTCCATCACTTTGGGTATAAAACTTCCCCAATTTTTTGAAGTCTCCCCCTCCCCACCAGGCTGGCTCACATGCAGCACTGCAGGAGCGGAGGGGACCCTTCGCTGGGCAGGAAGGCTGAGAAAGGACAGATCACTGGAGCAGGGGGTCCCAAGGCCTCTACCTAGGGCTCACCCCAAACTAACCAATGACACTGGGATATAATGCTCTGCTTTCTAAAACTGTAAATTAGTTTTTCCTGCAAAATTTGATAATGATGTGTCTGAGCTCCAAAGGAATGTGTTTTATTTGGCCAGTGAGTGTGATGCAAAGTGCACCAGGGGATGCTGGTGGGCTTAGGGGTCGATGTGGTTGTAGGGCAGATGAGACAGACTGCAGCCTTCGGCACTGCCTAGACAGGATACTTTTCCCAGGCATTGCCAACTCAAGCTATTTGCTAGATTTCAACCTGATCTTAAGAATGTTTTTTAAAATTAGATGTTGCTCAGTAATGAGGATATTTCTGCCAGTGCACACAGAGTGAAGTTATTATTGAGCAACTTGAAATGCCAGTATTTGTAGTGATCTGACGCTGAAAAAGTTATGAGAGCCCCTGGGATTATCGGGTGCGTGGCTCTGCGAGGCTGGGGAGGGGATGGGGGGGAGCTGCTCACCAGAGATTGACCAGGAACACGTGCTCGATCTCCTGCAGGATCTCCAGCTCTCGGAACACGTTGCGCACCTCATCTCTCTCAATGCACTGCTGCTTGTTCATGTACTTCATGGCGTACATCTTCTCTGTGTCCCTCTTCTGCACGATGCACACCTGGGCCAGGAGGAGAAAACAGTCAGGAGCACGTCCCACATGCACATCTGCTGCTCTGGGAGCTGAGAGCACTCTGCTCAGCACCTCACCCCCACACATCCCTGATCCCTGGGCGGGCACTTGTACCTACGGACAGCAGCATGCCTGCTCTCGGTGCTGTGCCCAGCTGGGGAGTGCGTGCGCTCTGCTCCAGCCCACTGCCCATCGGAGGCTGCAGCTGCCTCCAGGGCATGACGGCTGGTCCGGAGAACTCTCCAAAGGGACAGCGCTTCCAACAGCTGTGTGGGAGCTGTGAGACACCTCCGGGCTCACTGCATCCGGATGGAAAGCAGCGACAGGCAGCCACAGGGTTCCGTGCCAGCCTCGCTGCCCCGCTGCTCACAGCGCTGTCTGCAGGGTGGCCCTCACCTGCCCGCACATCGCTGGGCTCCCAAAGGGGAGAATAATCCCTTTGGCAGCAGAGAGAGACCAAAATGCAAACTGGTTACAACAACAAAGACCTGGCCTGGAGGGATACCCACGTCTGTCCCCGGAGCCCTGCTCTGCAGCAGGCACAGAGCTCCTGGGCCAGCACGGAGCCCCCGGGCCGGCACTGAGCCCCTGGGCTGGCACCCAGCCCCCAAGCTGACATGGAGTCCCTGGGCTGGCACCAAGCCCCCAGGCTGACATGGAGCCCCCGGGCCTGTCCCCGGAACCCCTGGGCTGGCACGGAACCCTCAGGCTGACATGGAGTCCCTGGGCTGGCACCGAGCCCCTGGGCTGGCACAGAACCCTCGGGCTGACATGGAGCCCCCGGGCTGGCACCAAGCCCCCAGGCTGACATGGAGCCCCCGGGCCTGTCCCCGGAAACCCTGGGCTGGCATGGAACCCTCAGGCTGACATGGAGCCCCTGAGCAGACATGGAGCCCTCGGGCTGGCATTGAGCCCCCGGGCCTGTCCCCGGAGCCTCCAGGCTGGCACTGAGCCCCGAGCCCCTGGGCTGGCACCGAGCCCCCGGGCTGGCACCGAGCCCCTGGGCTGGCACCGAGCCCCGAGCCCCTGGGCTGGCCCTGCCGCTCCCCTCAGCTCTGCTAATGACACCTTCATTACCAAGGTGACTGCTTTCCCGAGAGCTAATTAGCTATCACGGTAACTCTTTCTAAATTACTAATGGCATGTCTACATCTGCTATAATTATGCCTGCCCTCTGTTAATTATCAGCCCTGGCGGTAATTAGGATGAGCTGGATACGCTCCCTGGGCAGCTCGGCCAGGGTGAGCAGGCAGAGAGCGGGTCCTGCTCACACTGAGTGGAACACGGAAAGGGAATTTCTGTGGGTGGCAGGGAACCGAGACAGGTGGGAGCCGCAAGCGCTCCGCGCCTCTACACGCTGCCACTAATAACCATGTGCAAGTGCTAATGGTGCTCGGTATAATATCATCAAGGACACGCTGCCGCCAGGAGGTGACAAAATAATGGGTGGTTATCGTTAGCCTGATATACCCCCTAATTAGCGATGCACAGGAATTACCGCGATTATTTTCCGCCGTCGTTACAACTGCGGTGAGAGCTGAAAATCAGCTGTTGCCATCACTCTCTGCACACCTCAGAGCTCACGACAAGGGCACCTTGTGGGCAGAGTGACCCGAGCTGTTTCCCTGCATCTGGACCCCTCCGGTGCCCATGGGCGAGCAGAGCCCTTCAACTCCAGCTGCCACAGACTGTTCCAGATACAAAACATAAGGGAAAACCTTCTTCATGCAAACTTAATAATAATAATAAACGACCTACCACAATGCACACCACCGGCAGGATCCAGCCCCTGCCTAGAGCAGGCTGAATTGGTTGTACGTTCAACAAACCAGGCAAAAATATATTTTATATATTCTTTGAGCAGCAAAGCCCTAACAATTTTCCTTTAAAACATGGTCATTGCTGTAGAACTGCTCTGAAAACAATCCAGTCCTCTGGGTAACAGCCATCAAGGCGCTGAGCAACATTCTCCCCTGATGTCAGCTTATTCCACATTATTGCTGGAAGCTCATTAATTTCTAGGTCCTTTATTTTTTAGGATGTGACTTGCTGTACCTTAATGAGTATTACATGTTATTCTGATGTCATTTGTCTCTTGTTTCTCCACAGTGAAAATGGGAGCCCAGCATAATAAATGAGAAAATGATGAAAACTTCATGTACTCTGTAATTATGATAAACAGTTTTCTGCAATGGAACAGCATCACCTCTCCGCAGAGCAGCACCAGTTCCGGGCACTCTGGGAATGTTTGTTCTCTGATTTCTGCAGGAAAAGTGGCTGTCAGCGGAGAGGCTGCCCTGCAGCTGAGCCCGTGGCGTGAGCGGGGGCTGCCCCGTGCCCATGGGGCAGCCTGAGGGCACAGCGAGCCCCAGGGCCCATGGACACCTGGGCAGGGCACAGTGAGCCCAGGGACAGCTGGGCAGGGCACAGAGAGCCCAGGGACAGCTGGGCAGGGCACAGTGAGCCCCAGGGACAGCTGGGCAGGGCAGAATGCGCTCCATAGCCCAGGGACAGCTGGACAGGGCACAGACAGCCCCAGGGACAGCTGGGCAGGGCAGAATGAGCCCCAGGGACAGCTGGGCAGGGCAGAATGTGCTCCACGGCCCAGGGACAGCTGGGCAGGGCACAGTGAGCCCAGGGACAGCTGGGCAGGGCACAGTGAGCCCCAGGGACAGCTGGGCAGGGCACAGACAGCCCCAGAGACAGCTGGGCAGGGCACAGAGAGCCCAGGGACAGCTGGGCAGGGCAGAATGTGCTCCACGGCCCAGGGACAGCTGGGCAGGGCACAGACAGCCCCAGGACAGCTGGGCAGGGCAGAATGAGCCCCAGGGACAGCTGGGCAGGGCAGAATGCGCTCCATAGCCCAGGGACAGCTGGGCAGGGCACAGACAGCCCCAGGGACAGCTGGGCAGGGCACAGACAGCCCCAGGACAGCTGGGCAGGGCAGAATGAGCCCCAGGGACAGCTGGGCAGGGCAGAATGCGCTCCATAGCCCAGGGACAGCTGGGCAGGGCACAGACAGCCCCAGGGACAGCTGGGCAGGGCACAGTGAGCCCAGGGACAGCTGGGCAGGGCACAGACAGCCCCAGGGACAGCTGGGCAGGGCACAGGAGCCCCAGGGACAGCTGGGCAGGGCACAGTGAACCCCAGGGACAGCTGGGCAGGGCAGAATGTGCTCCACGGCCCAGGGACAGCTGGGCAGGGATGCTGTGTCTGCAGCACAGCCACCACCAGGTACTGATCACATCACACCGCTCTTGGTCGCGGTCTGACTCGGTCAAACCAACACCAGGAGCAGTGCTGGTGCTGCCTGGCTGGGCTCAGCCACTCGGTGCCCCTGCCACAGGCAGCGACCACTCCTAAAGTGCCCCTGCTTACAGAAATGCATCAGTGTGTTTGTGTCCCCCAAAATGGCAGTGACACAAAACATATCTTTTTCTTTTCGTGCTTCTCTGTTCATGCATCAGTTCCTGGGGAAGGAATAAACATCTATTTGGTCTCAAGTCATGAGTGCGTTTTTTAAATTAATCCATTTTCAGGCAAGACTACAATGCAGAGCAAGGCAAGAAGCAGAAATGACTGTGTCCTCGTTCTGCACATTGCAGCCACACAAAGGCAGCGTTTGGTGGTTAAATACAGCCATTAGGAGAACGAGTGGAACGGAGCCAGCCCTGCGAGGCAGGAGGCGGGCAGCAGCTGGGAGCGGATTGCTCAAGACACGGCACATAAAAGCTTTCCCAGAGCCCCAGATACCCGGGCATGTGTGCAGCTGCCCATCGCGCAGGGACGGCTGGAGCCCCCAGCCAGACTGCAGCCAGGACAGGGACGGGGGACACCCCGGGCCCCTTCACCCCCGGGCTGAGACAGTGACAGTACCTGTGCTGTCACAGTGACAACACCTGTGCTGTCACAGTGACAATATCTGTGCTATCCCAGTGACATCACCTGTGCTATCCCAGTGACAGTACCTGTGCTATCCCAGTGACATCACCCGTGCTATCCCAGTGACAGTACCTGTGCTATCCCAGCGACAGTACCTGTGCTGTCACAGTGACAATATCTGTGCTATCCCAGTGACAATATCTGTGCTATCCCAGTGACACCACCTGTGCTATCCCAGTGACATCACCTGTGCTGTCACAGTGACAATATCTGTGCTATCCCAGTGACATCACCCGTGCTATCCCAGTGACAGTACCTGTGCTATCCCAGTGACAGTACCTGTGCTGCCACAGTGACAGTACCTGTGCTGTCACAGTGACAACACCTGTGTTATCCCAGTGACAATATCTGTGCTATCCCAGTGACATCACCTGTGCTATCCCAGTGACAGTACCTGTGCTATCCCAGTGACATCACCTGTGCTGCCACAGTGACAGTACCTGTGCTGTCACAGTGACAACACCTGTGTTATCCCAGTGACATCACCTGTGCTATCCCAGTGACATCACCTGTGCTATCCCAGTGACAGTACCTGTGCTGCCACAGTGACATCACCTGTGCTGTCACAGCGACAACACCTGTGCTATCCCAGTGACATCACCTGTGCTATCCCAGTGACATCACCTGTGCTGCCACAGTGACAGTACCTGTGCTATCCCAGTGACATCACCTGTGCTCCCACAGTGACATCACCTGTGCTATCCCAGTGACAACACCTGTGCTATCCCAGTGACAACACCTGTGCTATCTCAGTGACAGTACCTGTGCTATCCCAGTGACATCACCTGTGCTGCCACAGTGACATCACCTGTGCTATCCCAGTGACAGTACCTGTGCTATCCCAGTGACATCACCTGTGCTGCCACAGTGACATCACCTGTGCTGCCCCAGTGACAACACCTGTGCCATCCCAGTGACATCACCTGTGCTATCCCAGTGACAACACCTGTGCTATCCCAGTGACATCACCTGTGCTGTCACAGTGACAACACCTGTGCTATCCCAGTGACAACACCTGTGCTGCCCCAGTGACAGTACCTGTGTTA